AGTAGTAGTAGTCGCTGCTCACTTACCCTGCTCACTGCTCTCCCTGCTCACTGCCTCTGAGGAGGGGAAGAGGAGGGGGAGGAGGAGGAGGAGGAGGAGGAGGAGGGGGGGAGGGAGGGGGGGGAGCGACCAGTTTATTCACCGCCGAGTAAAACAGGGGGGGGGGGTACCAAAACAAAAGACCTTTAGAGGTTACCCTCAACCGCTTCATGGCCCCATAGGGAGCTTCTCCGAAGGACCCGGTGGCACAGCCCGCATGTCGTACCCGCACCTGGTTCGGCACACTCTCCATACACGCTTCGTGGCCCCATACGGGTTTCCACCGAAGGCCCTAGCGGCTGGGTCCGCATGCCGCACCCGCACCTGGTTCGGCACACCCCTCACGCGTCGTGGCCCCATGGGGAGCTCCACCGCTGGCCCCAGCGGCACAGTCCGAATGGCGCACCCGCACCCGATTCGGCACACCGGGCCCCTCGCATCCCGGGGGCAGGCGCATCACAAGAGGTTGAGCGCGCCGAAGGCCCGCGGAAGGCTGGAAAGAGCGCGCCTCTGCCGGGCGGAAGCTCGGCGGAGGCGAGAGATGCACCCCTTCCTCGTCGAGCTCTTGCCGTCGCTCGGACGTCCATTTCCCATACATTTGTCGGTTTCGTGCGTGTTTGTTTTGCTCGATGGTCCAGGATGGTCCTCGATGGTTCTCGCCGAGAAAGAATGCACACGTCCGAGCGATGCCAAGAGCTCAGAGGCTCTCTGGCCCTCGGGGGATCCCCTCGTCGCCGCGGCGGGCACCCGGCGCGGAGAACTGACGTGTGTCGTGGGCCCTAGAAGGGTATCCGGGGACCGATGTCTCTCCTTATTGCCCGCCCCTCGCACGAGTATAAGGGGGAGGAGGAGGAGGAGGAGGAGGAGGAGGAGGAGGAGGAGGAGGAGGCGAGGCGGAGGAGGAGGAGGAGGAGGAGGAGGAGGAGGAGAAGGAGGAGGAGAAGGGGGAGGAGGGCGATCATCATGAGGACGAGGAGGATGAGGGGTTAGGGATCGGTCGTCGCACATCGTCGTCATCGGAGGTCGTACATCTTCGTCATCGTACGTCGTGGGAGGGAGCGGAGGAGGATCCGCAGGCGGAGGAGGACAATCCAGAGGTGGAGGAGGACCCGCAGAGGAGGCGGACGATGAGGAGGACGTCGGGGGTTGCAGCCCCTTCGACATCGATCCCGGGACCCGGCCTGGCCAGGATGGTATCGCGGCGTCCCCAGCCTCCCCGCCCTGAGCGCGGCAGTTTTGTGCTCATCTCCTTCCCTGCTGCTTTTCACCCCCCGTATGCCGCTTCGTTGCACATTGTTTTGCGTCACGCGCCTGCGTGCCGCGCCGAAGGTGGCCGAGCGCCCAGAAGTGGTGCAGCTCAAGGGTGGCCGCGGTGTCTGCCACCCTGACTGGGTCGCACTAGCAAGCAGCGCACGCCATCGGCGGCGTCTCGCAGCAGTCGAACAGACGGAACGCGAAGTCACGCTCAGGAAGCACGCGCCCGCGAAGGCGTGGGCGAAGAGAAGCTAGACGCAGTCTCGAAGTGGAGGAGGAAGTGGAGAAGGATGAGGAGGAGGAGGGGGAGGAGGAGAAGGAGGAGGAGGAGGACCCAGTAAAAGTGGATCCTCCACATCTCGAAGCTGGGCAGCGGAGGCGCTCGATGCAGTGGCGAAGGTCCACACGGTCCCTTGGAGCACGCCTGGCGCACGCGCCACGACTGCCTTGAGCCAAAATGGCTATGAAGGCGAAAACCTGCTCGTTTTCCTGCTTGTCAGGCTCCTCCTCCTCCTCTTCCTCCTCCTCCTCCTCCTCATGTTCCTCTTCGTCCTCGTCCTGTTTCTGCTCTTCATTCCTGCTCGTCGTCGTCGTCCTCCTCCTCCTCCTCCTCCTCGTCCTCCTACTCCTCCCCCTCATCATTATTCGTTTCCCCTCCTCTTCCTCGCTCACCCTCCTCCTCTTTCCTTCTTTTCCTCCTACTCCATCCTTTTGTAATGACCAACTCTTCCCTGTCGCGCCCCCGCACGTGTCGGTCGGGCGGGCCAGGCGTTTCGCCCGAGACCTCCTGACCACTGATGGCCCTGAAGCTTGAAAGTCGCAACTCCTTCACGGATGTAGGGCGGGCCGTTTTCAAAATGTGGCTCTCGTCTGAGCGTCGCGCACACGCGTCTGAAGAATTTGCAGCAGTTTCGAGGGTTGAGTGCATGTCGTTTTGAACAAGGGGCTCTCGTCTTAGCGCCGCGCGCATTCGTCGCAAACGTTTGCAACCATGTCACTGATGTAAGCCGGACCGTTTTCAAAACGTGACCCTCGCTATAGCGCCTCAGCAGCTTCACGGATGGAGGATTCGCCGTTTTCAAAATATGGCCCTCGACTTAGCGCCGCGCACATTCGTCTTAATAGTTTTCGGCGGTTTCAAGGATGAAGGGCGGGTCCCATTAGCAAGTTGGCTCTAACCGTCGCGCCGCGCACATCCGTCTTGAGAGTTTGTCGCAGTTTTAGGGGTTCGTACGGTTGACCTCCCGCGAATGGCGTTTTGGCACGAATCAAGCTTGTCAGGACGCAACAATCCTGTTCATTCGCGGTGTTGAAGTCCCAGGAATGGTGTTCTGGCACGGTTCAGGGTTGTAAGGACGCAATCGGCACGTTGATTCGCTGTGTTCTGAATACCATAAACGGCGTTCCATCACGATTGAGGATTCGAAGGCGGTTGCCTTCTGATGGGGTACTTCCCGCCATAACTTCTGGCAGGGACCTTTGTGAAGAAGGGAACTTGGAATGCGCTTTGTTGCAACATCGTCGATGCGTCTTCAAGTGCCCTGGTCCCCTCCTCGTTCTCCTCGTCGTCGTCCTCGTCCTCCTCGTCGTCTACCTCGTCCTCCTCCTCTCCTAGTGTTCGTCCTCGTCACTTCACCGTCCTCGTCCTCCTCCTCCTCCTCCTCCTTGGTCCCTCATCACCCTCGTCGCCCTCCTCGTACTGCGCTCGCGCTGGCAAAAATCGCCGTCGCGCCCACGACGTCGGCGCCCGCGGCCAACCGAGGGGTTTGATGAGGCAAGCGCCCACTCACCATCCCTCACATCCTCTTCATCCTCTTCCTCCCTCTCCTCCTCCTACCCCTCCTCCTCCTCCTCCCCCTCCTCCTCCTCATCCTCCTCTTTCCTCCTCCTCCTCCTCCTGGTCCCTCATCACCCCGTCGCCCTCCTCGTTTACTGCGCTCGCGCTGGCAAAAATCGCCGTCGCGCCCACGACGTCGTGGCCGGGTCCCAGGGGGTTTGATGAGGCAAGCGCCCACTCACCACCACATCCCTCATCCTTCATCCTCTTCCTCCTCTCCTCCTCCTCCTCCTACCTACTCCTCCCTCTCCTCCTCCCTTCCTACTCTACCTCCTCCTCCTCCTCCTTCCTCCTCATCGTTCATCTCATCATTCATCATCATTCATTCATACGTAATATATCATCATCATCCTCCTCATTCATCATCATCACACCCCACCACCACCACCACTACACCTCCACCACCACCTTATCATCCTCATTCTTCATCATATATCATCCTGTCATCATCATATCAATCATCATATCCCATCCACCACCACCACCACCACCACCACCACCACCATCATCATCATCATCATCATCATCATCATCATCATCAACAACAACAACAATCATTTTTTCCCCCTTCCCCCCTCCTTCCCCTCTCGGACGCCTGTTGGTTTTTCGGTCATAACTCGGGTCTCCGGCGGCCGTTCGGGACGATCATGGGATCCCTGGAACGCTCTCGGCGAAGCGCAGCCGGTGGAGCGCATCCCCAGGCCGGAGACTCGCCGAGAGCATACGACGACGCCCGAAAACTTCGCACCTCGAACCCGAAACGCACACCCCCAACACGCTGCGCTTTCTCCCTCTCGCACGGGGCGTCCTCGGCCACACTCAGCCCCCGGTCAACGGCATCCAACTCAATGGCCTTGGCGACGCTCCCGATGCCCTTGTGCCTGCCGCCGGGTGCCCGCTTGACCGGCCAACCGCCGGGAAGGAGCAGGGTCAGGAAAGGGGGAGGGGGTGGAGGAGGAGGAGGAGGAGGAGGAGGAGGAGGAGGAAGAGGAGGAGGAGGAGGAATATGAGGAATAGGAGGAGGAGGAGGAGGAGGATAAGGATATTAAAAGGAGGAAGAGGAGGTGATGAGGATGACGATGGTGAGGATGATGATGGTGATGGTGGTGATGATGATGACGACAATGATGAGGATTCTGATGATGGCGATGATGATGCTGATGTTGCTCGTGGTGATGGTAATTCTGGTACTGTGTTGGATGATGAGCCGGATGATGATGGTGATGCTGTTATGTTTAATGCTGATGTTGTTGTTGATGATGATGATGATTCAGCGGATGATTATACATGGTTATGACGAAGCGGATGATAATGATGGCGATGATGGTGCTTCTTGTGATGAAGATGATGATGACGATGGGGACGATGATGATGATTACGCTGATGTTCATGATGCCAGTGATGCTGCTGATGATGAGGAGGAGGAGGACGAGGAGGGGGAGGAGGAGGAGGAGGAGGAGGAGGAGGTAGGGCGGATGAGGACAAGTGGGAAGGAGAGAGGGAGGAAACATAGTGAGGAGGAGGAATGAGGAGGAGGGGGAAAGGACGAAGAGGTAGGAGCGAGGTTGGGAGGAGGGTGAGGCGGAGGCGTAGGAGGAGGAGGAGAGGAGGAGGGAGGAGGGGAGGAGGAGGTGGAGGCAGGGTGGACGAAGGACGGAGGAGGAGGAGGAGGACGAGGAGGAGGAGAGGAGGAAGGAGGAGGAGGAGGAGGAGGAGGAGGAGAGGGGTGAGGGGTGGAGGAGGAGGAAGGAGGAGGAGGAGGATGAGGCGGAGGAGGAGGAGGAGGGGGAGGAAGAGGGGGAAAAGGGCGGATGAGAAGAGGGAGGAGGCGGAGGAGGAGGAGGAGGAGGAGGAGGAGGAGGAGGAGGAGGAAGAGGAGGAGGAAGAGGAGGAGGAAGAAGAGGAGGAGGAGGAGGAGGCCGAGGGACGAAGTGCCCCGACCGCAGGCCGCCTCAGGAGAGAACCAGGTTCACCTCGCTGAGGGCCTCGCGGGCGAGCTCCCGATGTAGAAGCCGTCGTGCACGTCGTCACTCTCGATCGCGCTGGCGTTGACGTGCGGCTTCCCGTCTGTCATTCGCGCAATGACCTCGCACGTTCTTGAAAAATGCGGGCGCCCAGCCGCTCGGCGGCGCCGTGGCCGTCAGCATCCAGCTAAGCGGCCGCCGCTCTGCCCCCTCGATTGGATCATCAAGGCACGGCTGGCACCAGCACAGCGCAGAGTGGCGCATCCCGCGAGGATTCCTGCATGCCCTCCGAGAGCCGTCTGGGAGCGCGGTTGCCATAGCTTGGCCACGGATGGCCTCGACCATGGCGCTCCAGGACGACTCGTCGAGGGCTTCGGCGATGACCCCCTCATCGCTCCCATCCAAGGACAGTGTCTCGGGCGGAGCGGCATCTTGACCCCAGGCGTCGATGACCGCAGCCACCTCATCGCCCCCATCCGAGGAAAGCGTCTCGGGCGGGGCGCAAACGGGATCCCAGGCTTCGAAGGCAGCGGGCGCCAGCTCATCCAAGAGCACACCTGCTTCGCAAAGGACTCCTCGACAATGATGGGCACCAGCACCAGCGAAGAATGTCGGCGCAAGCGGGCGCTAGGACAGGAAGGCGGCACGCGACCCTCGGCGACCCGCTTCCCGCGACCTCCAGCTCCGAACGTGGCAGGCTCCGCGACGCAGATCTTCGCGGAGATGTCCAAGTCCGTCGCGTCTCCAAGCCGCCCCTCCGTGAACTGGCGGCCTTCCAGGCGGTCGCTCTTCTGCAGGCGGCGCAAGTCCTCGCGTGGCGCCGCAGCGATGGGCACTCCCTCGTGGCAATCCGCATGCAGCGCCACGGTGCGCCGTGGCACCTCCTCGGCCGAAGGCGCACCCCCCGCGGCCGGGCGCCCAGTGCTGGCGCGAGGGCGGCGATGCGGTCGGCGAGCTCCGAGTCGCCGACGACGGCCTCGAAGCACATCCGCACCGTGCAAAACTCACTCTGCGCCGCATCGCACTCGGGCCTGGCCGCGGCCAGGCCGTTGCCAGCAGCCTCCAGCGCCCGCCGCCGCTGCCCGCGACCGACGCCGCTGCCAGCTTCCAGGATCGCCGTCCAGCAACCCCGCCCGTGCCATCATGCCCATGAGCCAAAAACCCTGCCCCCCAAGGCCCTCGCGCCCGCCCGGGAGGGGGGCGCGCCGAGGGACGAGGTCGAGGAGCAGGAGGCCCACGGAAAGGCATGAGCCAAAATGGCTACGAAGGGGGAGGGGGAGGAGGAGGAGGAGGAGGAGGAGGAGGAGGAGGAGGAGGAGGAGGAGGAGGAGATATCAGGAGATATCAGAGAGCGCACCAGGGCGCGGCCACCGCCTCGGGAGAAGCTCGCCGCGGCGAGGTAAAATTAACAGCGCTCGCGGGGGCGCGGCGCAGCGGCGGGCGCCGCAGGAGCGAGCGCCGCCGAACCAAAAGAAATGTAAGCCGAGTCAATTCGACGTGCCCGAGTCGAAGCCGCCCTGCGACGGTGGCTGCACATCGGGAGAGGACTTGGCGAAAGGTCTCGCCACGCACGCCCCTTCGAGCCGACGCGAACAAGGGGCCGCGGGGCAGGGGGCTCCGCAAAGAGCCACGGACGCCGACGGCGCCTGCCGAGAGGTCGGCTCGCGCGGGCGCACAGGCCGCAGGATAGGGCTGGCCTGGGGCAGCCCCGGCGCGCCCCCCCCCCCCCCCCGCGCCATCGACGAAAGTCAATCCGACGAGCCAGAGACGAAACCGTCCTATGATGGGTCTTGCTCGTCGGCTGCTCCCTCAAAGCTGCCGCGCAGGGGACTCGCCGAGGAGGAGCTCCAACCTCGCCCCCTGCAGCACCGCCCGGGCGCCTGCCGCGCGCTGCGAGGAAGATGGGGTCTCCCGCAAGCGCCCGAGGGCCGCTCTCCTCCGCCCCCCCGTCGGGGGCGTCGCTCACGGCGGCGACGCTGAGGCTGTGGACGGAGGGGGAGGCGTCGAAGCGGAGGGGCGCGCGCTTAGGCAAGGGGGCGCCGCCCGCCGCCATGGCGCGAGGCTCATCCGCCGTGGGGCCCAGGCGAACGTCGGGGGCACCAGGGCGGTGAAGAACAGCCGGAGGTACAGCCGCGCCCCGAGGAGGCGCTTCCGACGCGCTGGCGCCTGCGAGTCTATCGTCCGTCTCCGCGTGGAGCCCGTCGTCTCCGCCGAAAGCCGCTCGCGCGGTCGCCGTCGCGACCGCCGAGATGATCTCGTCTTCGTCGCCGAAGGCCAGCGTGCTTTTGTTGAAGCGGAGGGGCGCCCGCACGAACGGCGCGATAAGGTTTGCCTGCTCGGCGCGCCCGTGCTCTCCGCGCAGCGAGTGGCCTCCAAGGACGTGCGACTGTCCTCGTCCTTAGGCACGTGGGGCGCTTGGGGGCACGGGTCGCGCTCGCCCATCTACTGCGCGTCCGAGCCGTCGTGGGGGCGATGGCCAGCACCAGCAGCACCACGAGGAAGTACAACAGCATCTGGGCGCGCATCGGCGTCGTCGCCAGCGCGAGGAACACTACCAGGACGAGGAAGGTCCTCGCCAGGATGGGGCGGGTGGCACGGCAGCCTCCTGGGATGCGCCAGCAGGAAAGGGCGAGGCGTCCACGCGCTGGGCCCCCGCGTCCAGCTGCACGCCGACGGTCGGCGCGGTTCCGCACGAGGTGGGCTCAGCGCCGCCTCTGCCGAGCCTGGGGCCTGCAGAGGCCCACGCGATGTCCGCCACGGGCGCGTGGGCGAATCCGCCTGGCGGGACTCGCTGAGCGCGCCACGCGGCGTTCCAGCGGTGGCGGCGGGAGCCAGGGCAGGGACAGCGCGTCCCTGGGTAAGCAGCACCAGCGCCGGCCTCGCCGCCAGCTCGCGGTCCTTCCAGGAGCCAGGCTCGCCGCGAGCCTGCGCGAGGGCCTGGATGGCAGCCTCGCAGGTGGCTCGGCGCCGCTGTCTCGCCGCGCGACTGGCGGTGGTGGCGCCGAGCGCGGCGATGTCGCGCCCGCGCCACCAGGACTCCGAAGGCCGCCACGCTCTCGGGCCGCTCCCCGTCGCCATTTCCGTTGAACTCGAAGCCCCGCTACCCCGCCCCGTGAATCTGGGGTCGCAGGGCACGCCGAGGAAGAGTCCAGGAATGGGGGGCCTGCGGAAAAGCCTGAGCCAAAATGGCTACGGAGGAGGAGGAGTACGAGGAGGAAGAGGGGGAAGAGGAGGGGGATGAGGAGGAGGAGGAGGAGGAGGAGGAGGAGGAGGAGGAGGAGGAGGAGGAGGAGGAGGGGCTCTCAGGGGCTCTCATGACGCGGCCCAGTCGACGGGCCCTGGCGCGCAGGCCGAGGGGGCCCGCCTCGCGCCCGCGCCGCGCCGCAGAGGGCGGCGATCCACCCACGCACGAGCGGGCCGAGCGAGGCGAGCCGAAGCGAAACGAAACCGAGGCAGAGCACGCCGAGCCCCCCAATGGGAGCTCAGTATGCCCTGCGCAGTGCGTGGGAAGACCGCCCCCCCCACGCCCACTCAAGCCTTGCCCACTACGGGCTTCCAGCCTTCACGATGACGACCTTGCCGAAAAGCCTATGCTACTCAACCTTGGTCGCCCTCTTCCGGTGGGTCTTGACCATCACAACGCCCGGAATGACGAACTTACCGATGAACTCCGCCACTGACGTTGCAAAATTCGGGAGAATGCTCAAGGCCTTGATCATCGCAACACCCGGGATGACGAACTTACCGATGTACTTCGCACCTGACGTTGCAATGCTCGCAAGAGTGCTCAAGGCTGTGCTGAACTTCGCCGAAAAACGCCCACCATGGCTCCCGCACGCTGCGCCCCTCGGAAGTGCGCGCGCGGACGGCCCCCCTGGGCCCAGAGGGGCTTGAGCGAGGAGGGAGGAGGAGGAGGAGAGGAGGAGGAGGAGGAGGAGAGGAGGAGGAGGGAGGAGGCGTGAGGAGGGTGGAGGAGGAGGAGGAGGAGGAGGGAGGAGGAGAACAAGGAGGAGGAGGAGGAGGAGGAGGAAGAAGCGAAGCGAAGCGAAGCGAAGCGCGCAAATCCGCCGGAGCGGGACCCTTGAGGGTCGGCGCGGGCGGGCCGGGGCCCTTACACCGTGGTGCCGGAGATGTTCATAAACAAGCCGTCGCATGCGTGATAAATTGTCCCTCCAATCTGTACCACACACAAGTGTCGCAAGCAAGCTGTAACCACCATCGGCAATCGGTGTCGTCGGATGCCCTTGTGTCGTCTACCAGTTTGTGTGAGATCAAAAAGCTGACGACATCATGATCCCATCTTTTCCGCTGTCCTCCGTGTTTCCTCTGTGCAGGTCGTTTGTCATGTACTGGGGGGTTCCAGACGGCGGCGCGTCGTGACCAGCGGTCGGTAGATTGATTTGCTATGCGGCAGGCAAGCCCACCGCCACTTCCTTTTGAAATAAACTGTTGTCCAAGATTCGATTTGAGCTCGTTTGGCGTGGGCGTCAGCTGCGTGCGTTGCTCTCCGGACGAAGTCGATCCAGGATTCCGTGGTGCAGACGTCAGATGTGCTACCGTTGTCGCTGTCGCCATTGTCTTGGATGCTGTCGTTGGAGTCGCTCTCAGGGAGGAGGAGGAGGAAGAGGAGGAGCAGGAGCAGGAGCAGGAGCAGGAGCAGGCGCAGGAGGAGCAGGAGGAGGAAGCGGGGAGGACGTCATCTCCATCCTCATCCTCACCCCCCCCATCACGATCGCCATCATCGTTGCCTGCCGTTGGGCCCGTTGAACCGGATGTACGACTTCCCGTGGGCCTTGATGGGCCGATTTCCACTACTACTACCTACCACAGGTAGGAAAGGGAGAAGGAGGCGGAGGAGGAGGAAAAGAAGGAGGAGGAAAAGGAGGAGGAGGAGGAGAAGGAGGAGGAGGAGGAGAAGGACCTCCCCATCCTCACTTCTCCGCTGTCCTACCTGTGGTAGTGGTGGTGGTGGTGGTGGTGGTGGTGGTGGTGGTGGTGGTGGTGGTGGTGGTAGAGGTGGTGGTGGTGGTGGTGGTGGTGGTGGTGGTGGTGGTGGTGGTGGTGGTGGTGGTGGTGGTGGAAAATTGGCCCATCAGGCCTGGCTCTTCTCCGAATAGAACCGCTCCTCCGCGGACCAGCCTGGAGGCAGCCCCTCCGGCGGCGCCACCTCCCGGCGGCTCTCATTTTCCCGCTCCGCCCGCCCTCTCCGCGACCCCCCTGGGACCCCCCCCCCCTGCTGCCTCCCCCCTTCCCCCTCCCCCCTCCCCCTCCCCCTCCCACCTCCCCTCCTATCCCCCCTCCCTCCCCTCCCTCCCATCCTCCTAATTCCTCTTCCTCGTCCTCCTCCTCCTCCTCCACCTCTTCCTCCTCATCCTCCTCCTCCTTTCCCCCCCCTCCCTTTCTCCCCCCTCCCCCCTTTCCCGCACCCCCCCCCCCTTCCCCCCCCCCTCCCACGTTTCCGCCCCGTTGGCCTGCGCCGCCCCACCCTTCTCTCACTTTCCACATCTTCCCTCCCCCACAGTGTTCCCTTTGCCCTCTCCTCCTCTTCCTCCTCCTCGTTCTACATCCCTTTTCCATTTCTATAAGCGATCGGATTGTTTGAGAACTTCCCAGACATCGCGATGGCTATGTCCAAGCGGGGAGGAAGGGGAGTGGGAGGGGGAGGATGACGTTATTTTCTTCCCTGCCCTCCTCCTCCTCCACCTCCACCTCCTGCTCCTGCTCCTGCTCCTGCTCCTCCTCCTCCTCCTCCTCCTCCTCCTCCTCCTCCTTCCTCCTACTCGTCCCCCTCCTAATCGTTCTCCTACTCGTCCCCCTCCTAATCGCTCTCCTCCTCCTCGTCCTCCTCCTCCTCCTCCTCCTCCTCCTCCCCCTCCTCCATCCCCTTTCCGTGTCAATAACGGTAGCCCGCCTCTCCTCGCCGCGCCACCAGAGATGTCGGTTGGGCGGGCCGGGCGTCTCGCCTAAACTTACTTCGCAGATTGTAACCCTACCGCTTGACGTTTGCGTCCACCAGCTGTTCGATGAAGGGCGCTCCAAAACATGGTTCTCGCCTGAGCGTCGCCAGCATGCAACAACTGCATGGGTATCGGGCGGCTGGCTTGCGTAGTGCGACACTCGCATGAGCGCCGCAAGCACGCATCCTCAATGCTCCCAACAGCATGGATGCAGGGCGGCTGGCTTGCAGGGCGTGACTGTAGCCTCAAGGCCGCGAACATTCGTGCCTCAACGCTCTCCGCATCTACACAGAAAGAGGGCGGTGTGTGCACGAAATGTGGCTCCCGCCTGAGCGACCCGCACAGATTCGCCGTAAACACATGCAACGTAAGCGCATGCAACACATAGAAAGACTGAGGCGGCTGGTGCTCAGCATGCGGCTCCGGCTTGGAATCCTCCGGGTATGTCATGGCCTGGCCAAACTTCTACACGCTGCGCATCCCCTACCAAGACTCTCCTGCTGGTCATTCACGAGAAACGACCATCAACCATGCTCAGCCGAGCAATCAATCGCAGCATTGCCAACCCATGCAGACAGAATGCGGCCCCATGTCATGAAGCACGGCGTCGATTTATTTTCTACGCATCCCCTACCAAGATGAGTGGCGGCCCCCCTGCTCCTGGACACGCCCCTGGAGTGTCTGACCCTATTCCTCGTCACTAAAATGTTTCCATTGTGTAAGCACAGAAATCGAAACAGAGGATCCTTGTCCAAAGGAGAACCTCGCACGGATGGCAGTCTGGCAGGCCTATGGGGCGACTGTCGTTCAAAGGCGCTCCTCCCGCAGTGGAAATTAGTAGCTGCAGGGATGGGCAGTGGGCGTGGGAGGACGGGGGTGTACTGCAGCATCGTCGATGCATTTGGTTTTGCTCTGGTCACCCTCCTCCTCCTCCTCCTCCTCCTCCTCCTCCTCCTCCTCCTCCTCCTCCTCTACCTCCTCCTCCTCCTCTACCTCCTCCTCCTCCTCCTCCTCCCCCTCCTCCTCCTCCTCCTCCTCCTCCTCCTCTTCCTCCAGCCCCAGCGCGCGGTGCACATACTTGATACTGTACCTGGGGTTCGATACACCAATACACGGTGTGGGGGGTCACAGAGAGCCCCTCCCGAGGAGGGCCCATGGCGCCGATGCGTTCGGTTGCCCGCGTCCTGGGCTTCAACCCTATGTATGCAACAGGTTTGAGATTGAATGAGTTGCTAGTGAACACGAAGGGGTCTGATGTATTACTACTTGCAGGTGCTCAAGAGACGTGTCGTCGAGGAGGAGGGGTGCTTCGTCGTCGGTGCGAGGGTCGAGTCGTGATCGAGTCTGTCTTCCAGAAGGGCCCTCTCACGAACAGAAGTACGGGCTGCGCAGTGTGTCTCGGGAAGCAGTACAGGGAGCGCGACATCGTACAAACATGGGCAGCACCCTCTAGCACGGCAAGCAGAGCAGTAGCAGCACGTGTGAAGCATGGAGCACAAGATGTAGTATACGGGGCGTTGTACTTCCCCCCTCAACCTTCTCGGCGTGATGAAGTAGGACAGTATTTCTCGACGGTCCAGGTGTTAGTAAGGTGGTGGCAAAACATATTGCAGTCTCTACCCGCTCGTACTCTCCCTATCTTCTACGCCGACTTGAACGACGGTGTTGGCCTCTCTAAGATCAGCGGTTCTTGGGAAGCTGTTATTTCCACGGCGGTCGGCGACACACGCACACAGGAGCATAGGAGGAAGGGGGCGGGGGAGAAGGTCAGGAAGTTGATGGAGCAGCAGCACATGTGTATCCCTGCCACGTTCTTCCCTCTGGAGTATACCTACTTCTCATGCGGCAATCCATCGCGACCATCTCTGATTGACTTCTTATTCATTCCCGTGGGTTATCGGGAGCGGATTGTCTGTTGTCACCCCCTTAGGGGTCTGGGAGCTAAGATTCAAGCAGTGCGAGGATTGCCACCACGTGACCATGTACCTGTATACCTGGAAATATTTTACACCAAGGACCCACACGACCTCCCTCCACAACCTCCCCCGAAGATGAACCCGACGGCACTCATGGATGCGATTCGTTCTGGCCGGGGCAAGGCCGCTTTTCTTCGGGACGTGGTTCAGGAACTTGAGGGGCACGAGGTGGGCCTGCTAGGCCTCTCGCAGACGGGATCTCCTGATCAGATCTTCGAGTCTCTCGAACGCAGGATTCACGCTCTTGGTCTTAAGCATTTCGGTCAGGCACCTCAGGCACCTAACCCTCAGGACAGCGCTCGGAGACGGGAACTACTAGCGGAACGTTCTCGGTTGAAGGGCAAGCGGCAGGAGGTGGACACGGGGGAGGAGTTGGAGGAGGTAGAACGGGAGCTTCGACGACTCTCAGCTCGTCTGAAGGACGAGCGGCGGCGCGCTGCACGGGCCGAGAAGGCGGTGCACGTAGCGCTCATCGAGGAGGCCTGGCGTTCTCGACGCCTCGCCGATGCGATGCACTTGTCTCGTCGTGCCGCTCGCTGCCGCTTCGGGGCAAAACAACGCGATGGTCGTCGCCTGGGCCCTGTTCCGCTGGATGAATCAGTCTGGGGAGTCGTTTCTTTCACTGCCAGGGGGGGAGGGAGGAATGAAAGCCAAAGCTATCTCTTGGGAAGAATGGCGAGCTGAACATGATGATCTCCCTGCTCCCCCGACCACGGCTGGTGATGAGAGTATCTTGGAGGAGCTGGGGGCCCTGGATTTTAAAGCTGTTCGGTTGTATTGTAGAAAGGCCAGCAAACGTCGGGCTGTTCCCCCTGGTACACTTCCGCTCGAGGTCTGGGACATGATTCTGTCTCCGGAGGTGGGCTGTAACACGAGGGGCCAGGGCTTGGGCTTCCAGGATTCTCTTCCAGATCTTAAGGTGTGTCATCATATTATTCACCAAGCACTTGTCCAAATTCGTAGATGCGATCTAGCGCCACTTTATTGGCATCGCAGCAGAGGAGTCAGTCTATATAAGAATGATATGTCGGGACCTCGTGGTCGTCGCCTTATACATACCCTTCCCTCGATTGGAAAAGCCTGGTATGCAAGACGTCTGCCTCTTACACTCCCTCCGCAAGACCACGGATTCGCCCGTCATCGTCGGAGGGAGGACGCCGTGATGAGCGTCATGGCCATGGGGTTCAGATTGCGTCAGGCGGGCTGGAGTTATGCAATAACTATGAAAGACCTCTCGAACGCGTTTGGCAGCACGGACTGGAAAGCACTTGACACGGTCATACAGGAACACTCTGCTCCCGAGGATAGGGTTCTCTGTCGTCAAAGGTACCGACTTTCTGTTGTGGAGGTTGAGACCACGACGGGCCCGCTGCTGTTGAAGACGGGGTGTGGAGGAGTGATGGGGGACCCGTTCAATGTCCAGGGGTTCGCGGGAGCGTTCGTCAAACCAGTTTCCGATTGGGCCCAGAAGGTTCGTGAGGAGATCCCTACTACTAGCTTGCTTGAAAGTCTTTGGTGTGGGGTGAAGGTGGATATGTCTTATCAGAAGTACGCCGACGACTTACTCAGGCTGATTCCATTATGCAAGGGGGAGGGGATGGAGGAGGTGTTCGACTCGTTAAACAAAATCGATGATATTCTCGACGACTCCCTCGCTACCACAGGATATGTGCAGAACAAAACAAAACAGGTGACACAGTTTTACATCGCCGGCCCAGGTTCGACACGTTGTAAGAAGTATATTCGCTCTCATGGCATTGAAGGGGGTCGACTTGCGGGACAGGTCTCGGACGTGGCACGTTATCTTGGTCCGATGATTACACCGCTGCAGTTGGCATCTCCTGAGCTTGAACGTCGGATGAATGCTGCGCCCGCGGGCTTTTACAGCATGGGCGCGTTCTGGTCCATGGAGGGTCCGAAGGCCTGGAAGCGGGTCATCTTCATTAGCCTTGTCCAAGGATCGCTGTTGTCTGGATTGGAACCCTTCATACTCTCAGATAAGCAGCACTCTTTACTGGACAGACATTTAGCACGACTAGGACGCACGGCAATGATGGGCGCAGCATGTACACACGCACAGGACGACGACGATCATGCTCGGACTCTAGCAACTCGGGAGGTTCTAGATTATTGGGGTATTACAGATTGTTACTCTGAACTGCTTGCACGTCGCCTCCACTGGTATCAGAGTTGGGCTAGGAATCAGAACTCCCACGTGCAGGTGCTCGTGGCGC